AGATAGTTGATTTATAAGATGATATGAATTAATGAAAAATTTGATTTAGAATTATCATCAGAATTGGCGCTTGGACCAGTTCAAAATGTAAAATTTATCAAAATTCATTATATCATGAGTTTATTAATTAATTCACTACATTCATTATTATAAGTGGGTCTGGAATTGAAATTCACTATTCCAAGTTTAATTAGATTCGTTACATAGTGAATTCGTTACATCCAGATTGGCTATGTGCTCGTGATTTGCTTATCAAAACTTTATGATCCAAAATAAAATCTATCAAACCACACGTCAAAATAAACGATTTCGCACATTTAATGTATACCGGTGCTTTTAATCGTTTTTGTCTGAAAACCAATTGACTATCTAATAGACTTGACGCACAAAAATGTCGCGATTAGAAAATAAGTATGTTTTATTTAATATTAAAAAATTATAACGTGATAAATATAATTAACTGATCTCGGAATTTCTGTCTACAAGATATTCAAGATTGACAGCTCGGCAAAAATATCTGAGGAATTAATCAACTAGTAAAAGGATAGAATTTCTTAACAATTACATAAATATAATCAATGATAAAACTTCTTTTTTTCTTGAATCGAATTTTTCATCCTTATTCTGGATTCAAATCTAAATCAAAAATTGCTGGATTTGCATCGGGTTGATCTGAAGTGGGTGAAGAAACTTTACTATCTTCAATGGAATCTCCTTCTTCCTCCTCGTCTTCTTCTTCTTCCTCCTCGTCTTCCTCTTCCTCTTCTTCATCACTTTCAAAGGCTTCGCCCTCGACACCCAATTGACCTGTGGTCGAATGAAAACAAATTAAAAATTCAAAAAAGAAAGCGATAAAAAATATAAATATTTCAAGCAATACCTTTTGCAGCAATAAAATTTTTATAAAGTAATCCTTGCCGCACTGTCGTCTCATCCGGGTATGGTCGTCCTGGGGGAGATGTAAACTTACTCAATTTATTCGCATATTCTAAAATATCATGGACAGTCATTGGCGCTGTTAAAAGCAATACAATAAAAAGTTATCGAAATTCCAAAAATTCAAGGCAAATAAATTAAAACGAATCAATACTAAATAAATACATACAATCTTGTGCTAACTTTATTGCTTTTTTAATGTTAATGGACTCTTCTAGAACCTCTTCTAGCGGTTCTTTACCAAGTTCAATGGCCTCAACCAACATCATCACAAGTTCGTTTTCGTCATCAATTTCATTCTGCAAGTTTAATATTTTTTGATGGTAATATTGATGCTCCTGAACTTCGAATTCGCATTATCTTCAGTAATTTCAATTTATTCTTTATGTATACATGTATATGACGATAAACCATAGAGAGAGGAAAGCTTCATAGGATGAGAGCCTACTTTGTTCAATTCCTTCTTGTAGCCTTCTATCCAACACTATAATTTCTTTCATTATTTTGGTGACCGGAACCTCGGGTGGTTTTCCATCTACAGCAGTCGCTTGAAGTGCGGTAAATAGCTTAAAGGTCTGTTCCTCATATTTATTTATAATTTGAATTAACGGCGCTGTGAATGTGGACGCTCGAGACTCGTGATTTTCTCCAAGATCGATTAAAGTGTTCTCACGGGTGGTAGTAGTAGTGGCAGAGGTTTCAGAATAAGCGGGTGTAGCAATATCTGCGACAAGTCCTGAATTGTTCGCAGTGTTGATATTATTAGTGATAGGATTCGCTGTCCCTAAAAATACAGGATTGCTGTCGAACAAAAGGCCGTCCATGAAAATGATTAAAAAATAGGTACAATCATCATATCACCAAATCAAAGTTTATTTATATCAGATATAATACGCGATCTTTTCCTTTTGTTACAAAATAGGGAACAATTTTCTCATTATCTTTCGCGACAGCACTCACATCTAATTTACACACTACATTTTTGTGAGATGTCTAAAAGGAAAAGCAAAGAAATCGTAGAAAGCGAAGAGGTAGTATGTGCTTTAATTACTAACAAGATGAAAGACTAGATTGAGAAGTTTTACTTTTTAAAGTGGTGTGCGGTATATTTTTCGCGTCTCATATTCTTTTTCGGAATGGTTTGCGTTAATAAAATCATAGGAGGGAAATAATGACGAATTTGTTGAGGAAGAAACTCCAAAAGTAGGTTGAAATAATGAAAAAGTGACAGTCTCAGGTTGTCTTGTATAAACGCAAATATTGAATATTATCACGTTTATTCTATCTATCTATATATATATATAGGCAACTAATAATAAGTCGTCTAAAACCAAAAAACACAAGACGTCATTTGATTCTGATTACGAGGAAGGAGATCGTGGGGAGACAGCCGATGGAGAAACATACTTTAAGGTAAAAAAAGAATTGATCTTTAATTTAATCGGTTAATCAATTGCTAAAGTGGATCTTTTGACCTATCTAGTTGGACCAGAAGAAAAGAGTAACAGTACGTAAGTTTAAGCATATGGTTCTTGTGGATATTAGAGAGTACTTTGAAACTAATGAGGGAATGAAACCGACCAAAAAAGGTATGTAGTATGATTGATGGTATCGATAGTTGCTACACTTCTCTGTAAATTAGAAAATAAATTATTATCATTATTATTATTATTATTATTATTATTATTATTATTATTATTATTATTATTATTATTATTATTATAGTAATACACACTCATAAATCATTACCTATTATCTTTAGGAATATCATTACAAACAAATCAATGGAACAAATTGAAAGAATTGATCGAAGACATTGATCAAGAGGTCAAAAGACTCAAATAGAGTTGTAATTTATAAGAAAAGAATGTTCTTCAGGTTATATAGTCCAATAAATTGCCAACCTTATTTTTCCTCTCAAATAATGATAAGACTGATATAATAATATTACTGACGTTAGAGTTAATCTAACGCTAAAACCATAAAAATGGAAGAAACATTAGTATAAGGAAAATATACTTTCAATTATCAATAATTATTTGAAATTGCAGTATCAAATATTTTTGTTTAACTTAAATTATAAAGTATGAAATGGTATCCTTGATGATTAAACATGCTTCGATTTTTTCAATTCTCTCAAAGCAGAATTAGAGTAAAACCATTGACACGCGGTCATTCTCTTCATAGAAAGTTTTTTTCTTCTTTCAATAAGGAAGGTAAAGATTAACTATGCGAGTTCAAAAATTTCAAGTTCCAACGTTAAGTTTTCGCTCTTCCCCAAAACGAATGCTTAAGCTAGTTTCTCGTTTTCCTTAGATTTTTCTTTGCCATCCCTTCCGCTTTTCAACCAAGCAATAAAACACGTCAAAACCCAAACACATAAAAAACCTGCAATAATAGATATTAATACTAATATTTCACATAGTTATACAAAACTAGTTCAAGATGTGGCAACTTTCAAGAATAAAATCCTGCAAACTGGTTCAAAAGGAGCTTTTAAAAAGGATCTAAGAGAAGAAAGAGTCGCGTTTTTGTTTCCAAACGGATATGATCATGTTGTATCGCAGTGGTCGATTTGGGCGGCGGGTGGCATTGCAGTTCCTATGAGTCCTCTTCACTCGAACTCTGAGTTATTGTATACTATTCAGGATTCACAAGCTTCTATTGTCATTGCTCATTCTAATTTTGAGAATCGGATTAAAGAAGTTACTGCACAAACAGGGGTAAAAAATGTTCTCTTTGTTGATGGGAACCAGAATTATAGCAATTTTAGGGATGGTAACTTTGTAAGCGTTCTTAATTTGTATTTTGAATATATGGTAAATTTAATAATATATAATAATGAAAAAATAAATTATAGTTGCCATCCATTTTTCCAATAGATGAGTCGCGTCGTGCAATGCTTATCTATACTAGCGGAACTACAGGTTTTTTTTATTTTGATTTTTTATTGTCGCATTCACGTTCTAATTAATTTATGAAAATTGCAGGGAACCCCAAAGGAGTGGTATTGACTCATGCTAATCTCAAAGCACAAATCAAAGGTCTGGTAGAAATGTGGCGGATTACCGATAGAGATAAATTATTGCATGTTTTACCACTGCATCATATTCATGTAAGATTTTGTGTTATTGCTTAATTCTTTACATTTTTTAATGTGATATTTTTATCCCGTATTCTATAATCTAGGGAAACATATGTGTAAGAATCTCCTTTTGCGAGTTAGATAATTAAAAAAATATAGCAATAAATGCTAAATGCTCTATTAATATCAGGCTCTCGCATGTTTACTTTACTCGGGCGCTACAGTTGAGATGTTTCCAAAATTTGATGCAACATCAGTCTGGAATCGGTTCATGAGACCTGAACGTGATTTAACGATTTTTATGGCTGTCCCAACGGTTTATTGTATATGAAATGTTTAATTCGCTTTCAATCCTTTAGATTTTAATTGAGAGATGACTGACCAATCAATTAAGTCTGACACACATTCAATTTAGCAAAACTAGCCGAAGAATACCACAAAATGCCCATTGAAATGCGAAAATCTGCTATGAATTCATGCTCGCAATTTCGTGTAATGATTTCCGGCTCGTCGGCACTCCCGTCACCGTTACGCTCTACTTGGGAAGAGATTAGTGGCGGACAAGTATTGTTGGAAAGATACGGAATGAGTGAAACTGGGATCACATTGAGTAGTGGATATGAGGTTGAAAAAAGGATCGAGGTAAATAAACAATGAATTATTGATTGAGTATATTCTTTAATATACTCTATACATTCCATTTTAGGGGTGTGTAGGATTACCTGTGCCTGGAGTCCAAGTTCGATTGATTTCAGAAGAAGAGGAAGATGTTACTAGCGAGATTGAGAAACCTGGTGAAATCCAAATTAAAGGAGAAAATGTATTTAAAGAGTATGCATTAACTGCCAATCACAAATTTACGATATTATAATCATTAATTAACTAACTGTACTACAGATACTGGAACCGCCCAGAAGCTACTGAAAACGAGTTTACTAAAGATGGATGGTTAAAAAATTCTTTTCTCGGTTACCTGATCAATTTTATTAAAATTAAATTAACAACATAATACTATTACTATTCAAATTAAGGTTCAAGACTGGTGATATCGCTGTTTGTACAAATGATAATGTCTTTAAAATACTTGGAAGAGAAAGTGTTGATATCATAAAGGTAATTAATCAATTTTTGACAATAATGAGAATTTCTATAACCATATTTTTTGTTGTAGTCAGGAGGATACAAGATTTCGGCATTAGAAATAGAACGAGAACTTTTATCTCATCCAGAAATAATTGACGCTGCTGTTGTTGGCGTATATGATCCAGTATGGGGTCAAAGAATTGGCGCTGTTATAGTGACTAAAGATCATGTATGTATAAGGTTTTGATTTTCAAGTTACGTACTTTGATATTTGTGTCTTTGACGTTAAATATTCCTTTTCTTTGAACACCAAAGAATACAAATATTTCTCTTGATCAATTACGCAAATTCCTATCGATAAGACTAGCATCCTATAAACTTCCCACATTGTTGAATAATTTTCAGAATGCATTTCCACGTAGTCCAATTGGTAAAGTTAATAAAAGAGAATTGGTGAAAATTGCATTTCTGAGAGATGGAAATTTAAACATAAATCAATAATAAACAGTAAGTTATATTTACATTTCTTGTAATTTTATTTATCAAGATCTTCAGATCATATATTTATGATTATTAAATTTGCAAAGAAATGTTCTTGATAAATAAAGCCAATTTTATAATAAAAATATTTATTGTAACTCTGATTCAGTATTATAATTCTAATTATAATTATAAAAAATGAATTGTAATATAAAATAATACTTATAGAATTTTTATTTATATAAAGATTTTTTTTGAAGAAGAAGAATTTTATTTATAATTTTTTCTTTTTATATATGATACTATTATCAAGTTTTTTATATTAAGATTGAAAAAATCTAATTTAGAATGTAATTATATAAAAATATAACTATATTACTTAAATTTATTAAAAAAGTTATTAAGTAATTATTTTATATAAATAAAATATATTTTAATTAATTAAATAATTAATATTAATTTTTAATTATAAATATTCTGAATCAAAATTAAATTTTTGATTATTTTAGAATAAAAAGTTAAATTTTTCAATTATTTAAAGTATTATATTTCAAATTATATTATAATCAGTCTAATTAATATAGAAATATAATCAAAATTAAATAAATTAATATTAGAATTTGAATTTGAAATATATTTTAATTATCACTTAAGATAAATATTATAATTTTGAATATAATATAAAAATTAGTTATTTAAAAAATTTTTAATAATAATTTTAAAATATTTAAATTTAAATTAAATATTAAGTCTAAAATCTATAAGTTTATAATTCAATTTAATATAAATAAATAAATAAATATTAAATTATAAAATAAATTTAATATAATTTTCTTAATAATATTATTTTAAATAAAAAACAAGAAATATTAAGTTTTACTAATATTATTTTTTTATTAAACTAGTATATTTTAAAAGTTTTTATAAAATTTATATATTATATAATTATATATAATAATATAATATTAATTTTCTTAATAATATTATTTAAATAAAAATAAGAAATATTAAGTTTTATTAATATTATTTTCTTATTAAAATAATATATTTTAAAATTTTTTATTAAAATTTATATATAATGATGACCAAAAGTAATGACTTAGGAGCTAAATTTATTAATAAAATATAGTAAAAATTAAAATTTTCTTTTTATATTAAAATTTATAATTTTATTAAAAAATAATTTTTATATATCAAAATTTATAATTTTATTAAAAAATAATTTTTATATATCAAAATAAAGATTATTAATTATAATTCAATATATATTTTTTTTAAATTTTTAGATTTTTTCTAAAAGAGTTATTTTAATTATAAAGTTAATACAAAAATTTTTATTAATTAAAATAAAATTTAATTAATAAAAATTTTTGTACTAACTTTACAATTAGAGTAATTCTTTCAGAAAAGATCTAAAGAATCTGAAAAAATATATATTAAACTATAACTAATAAACTTTATTTTAATAATTTTAATATAAAAATAAAAATTATTTCTTAATAAAATTATAAATTTTAATATAGAGAGAAAATTTTAATTTTCATT